CGCCAGGCCCCGAGGAACAGCTGAAAAGCGAGACTGACGCAGCCCTGCGTTGGGTCAAATGAGAATGGGGTCATAGAGCTTGCATATAGCTCATAGCAGGCACTGGCCAAGCGTGAACCGTCGCCCACATTGCGAATACATGAATTATGACACTACTTTTCCCGATTCTGGTTCCAAAGGGATGCGATTTCTCATTTGTATCTTCGAAGGTCATTTGATAACTCTTCGCTCTACATTTGTACTTGCGCGGGTTCCTAGATGCGCACCCCGTGCTTTGTGTAGGGATAGCATCACTTCAAGTTCCATAGCAGCCAGACGGAAAGGCTCATGGCTCAGCGGTGGATCGCTAATGCGAGAAGATTCGTAGGTGTTGGCACCTGGAGCCAGTACTGGCTACCGTGATAGTAATGCAGCAGGAGATGAACGACGACAAAGGGCATTGAAGGGTTTAAGGCTGGGTAAGCAGCGAATCGTTTGAACGGAGCCAAATAGATTCCTCTTATGCTGCGGGTGAATGCAATTGACAAAAGAAGGGATGAGATGTTACACTGTCGCAGGCACACGACGTGGATCAACTGTGTGCAAGAGTCAGGCTAGTGGCTTGCCCATAACAGCCGACCTGGACATCGGGACTCTGGCGCCCTCCTCTGCTGGACGGGACCGACGAAAGGGACGCCTGTCAGGGCGCTTCAGGGATTCCAGGCCCCTCGATTTGAGACGGCGGAAGGCGACATACGGGGGCCGCGAAGTTTCGCTAGCGAGGGACGCCTCCACTTTCCTAGCGCTGGTACCTGTTAGCTCAGGTACTGTGGTTGGCCTGTCTCGAGATTCCCAACGAGTTGGTTGAGCCGTAGTCTGGCCTCTGCCATCTCCGTGATTCTGAAATTAGCACCTTGTCAAAGCGACCCAGTACTCCGTCTCTCCTCTACGCACTGAGACCAGGCACAGATCTCTTCTTATTGGTCTTGCTGCGTCTTCCGTTGAAGCGCCGATACCGAACCCTGGGTGCTGGTTGTATCGCTGTTAAACCACTGGTCTGGTTCGTCTCGGTCTCGGTAAACGACATTCCAAGGCGCCCCTTTGGCTATGCTCAATCGCAATCAACCTTGGGCATGACGAAAGTGTCTACAACAGAGATGAACTGTGTATTGGTATTGTCTTGGTGTCCAACCATTTGAGGATATCCCAGGTGTCAACCCCATACACTAGAAACGTGACCACTGGGTCGGGCCTCGTTAGTAAACCTTTAGGGATCGCTTGCACCACTGGGCTGAAGCCACGAAGGTGAACCAGGCTGTGAGCGAGAGGACCATCTTGTTGATACTATAGTACCGTTTTGGGCTGTTCGGACTTTGATCTCAAAGAAGGATAACTCCCGGACACGAACACATGGCGTTTGAAACATACAGGCCCAGGCTGAAGCTATCAACAGCATGGGCCCAATCAGAAATGCCGTGGTTCCGGGAACGTGGGTATTCGATTTCCCCCTCTGGGACTCTTTGGCATTATTCTCCGATACAGGCCATGTACATTTGTTTCCTGTGGCAGCGCTAGGCCTGATAGCTGAGGTCTTCGCTCGGAGAGCTGTGACTCTCGAGCCTCCACCACAGTATATGTACGTGTACTTTTTGGCTCTTGACTCGTCGAGCAAGCTCTCGGCTGGCGGGGCAAAACCTAGGACATCTGGCCCGTCCATCTGTGCGACCGCTCTTTCGCGCTACTCTTCGGAAGCTTAAGTTGTCCGGCAAGACCCGCGGCAAACTCGGCATTCGCAATTAATACACATAGCACCAGGATCCAAGGCCCTCAGAACGCATTAATGACTGTATCTGGACGCCTCAGTAAATAGTCCTGACCCTCTAGGGGACGCTTTACCTAGAAGGGCCCTGCTTGGCTTTCATCAAATCACTGGCAATTGTTTTTGCGCCCGTCCCTCATCCCACATCGTTCCATTCGCTGCCTCGCCAATGATCCTTATTTGCATGATACCAGGACCCGGCTGGCGTCATCCAGAAACCCGGCCAGTCTCTTTGTGACCGTGCACCCCCGTCCTCGACATCTTCTGGGCGTGCTTTAGACACACCTGTGGAATACGACCCATGGGATTGGAAGAAAGCTGCGGTGTACGGGGACAGCGTCTGATGCTAATGCAGGCTGGTTCCGACAGGCTCTTCTTCATCCAGTAGGCCTATGCCACGGTATTAAGTTTAGCGTGGGCCCACGGGTTGCGCCTTTGCTGCTAGGGAGGCTTGAAGCCATTGCCGGGATGATCACCGTCCGAGACGGTGGGAACAGCTACATGTACATCTCTTGACAAGACCAAGCAGACTCCCTCTTATAACGTGTGCCCTGTCATTATCGCCTCCCCGGCTCAACCTCCGATTTCTGCTCTCGTTCCCTAGCCCTCCTCGATCTCTTGTGAGCACTCGTCCTGCATCTGGCAGTCTCCTGACGTGGTGGGAAAAGCCACTTCACATACTAGGCATCAACGAACGTGGGCCACCGCCACAAGCTTCCGAGCAGTCATAGCATAAGAAGCCGTCGTAGGGCCGGCCGTCAGGAAGGACGTCGCCGGCGACACCCTGCATTTTGTTTTGACATTTTCCATCAGCGGAACCTATTTTCCATTACCGAACCGCACACCCGTACACCCTTAATCCTTTTTCAAGCCCATTTTGGGGCCTTTTCCCGTCAACCGAAGGCTTAAAGCTCGAACTTTGCCGCCCTGGCTCCGAAGGTCGTTTGACGTTACATCCGAAGATCCCTCCAGCTTTGGTCAGCTGTGTACGCCAAAGAGTCGTCTTCTTGCTACTCTGTCTTCACTGGTATTTAGACAAGAATGGATGCCCACAACACTTACGTTTGAATCGTTTTCGAAAAAGCCCCAAATTACTTGGCCTCTCATCATCCAAATCAAGTAACTCAGTACCCATCCGGCTCCGGACCCACGGCAAACAAGCACAGCTGCAAGCAGCCATCCCCGGCTACGACAGCAGTCAGCAGACATGGGGCCAGCCACGACTTCGTCATCACCCGCTGACGAGCCGGGGTTGCTCAGCCGCCTCATTCGTCGCGCTTCGATGCGGCGGAGTAACGGTAGCATGGCTGCCATTAATAACTTCGAGGATGCTTCTGCAGCTGCAGCAGGAAGAGGTACTCCGCCTACGAACACGGGTCCGACGCCTGGCGGCGCCAGCGAGGTCCAGGGCGCTGCACCTAGCAGACGAGCGGATGATGTCTTTGCACTGCGGCCTGTTAACATAGGGAGAAGCAAGCTTCATAAGATTAACGAGGGCCCGGCTGCGTCGCCCTTGTCCGCCCAAAAGACGCTCCTCTTCCAGCTCCCGTCGTTGTAGGCGACGGCCTTACCCCGCGAAAGAAGTCCATGTTTCGCCCTCAGTCCCTGCTGCTGACCAAACCGACTGCTACTCCTGCGGCCACCAACATGGCACTGTCCTCAACCATGCAATCGACGAAGCTGCGATCCAAACCCAGCTTTCGAAATCGCTTCTGGGCCGCCTCATCATCCAATGACTTTGGCAACGACAATGACAACAAGGAAAATGTCGCCGCCGCAAAGCCAACGACGCCACGCACGGCCTACGTGCCCCGCCACGCGGCCTCTGACTTCTCCGAAACGACGGCAGCTAACCGTCGTCACCGCCGAGCCGTGTCGCACGACAGTGCCGTGGGGTCAACAGCACAGGCGTCGATGCCCGTTCTAGTTGAACATACACCGATGCCGGCCCTCACCGAGAGAACAGACGACGAGACGAATCGACAGCAACAGGATGTCAAGTGTATCGATGCGCGGAGGCGGAGTCACGGCGCGCAATGCGAAGCAATGGCGCACCGCGGCGCGAGTTTCCATGCGAGGGCCGCGGCGGACACGTTCGTTTATTCAAGCCACCAAAACCAACCCGACAAGCAACATCACCAACATCAACATTCCTTCGAGAAGCGCGAGAATGAAAATCCGTTCCTCGATGCGTCGGAAAAGGTGCGGGCCGGGCCAGCCTCACAGCCGTTTAATGTAATCAAGGAGGGGGAAGACACTTTCACTGACTACGACCGCTTTGTAGCGAGGGCGCACGCCGAGGAGATGGCCATGCGCGTCAATGCCGTGCGGCGCAATTGGCGTGAGAGCAAGCGGGACAGCGCTTGCTACTCTGGCAAGAGGGATAGCGCGCGCACGAGCGACGAGGAAAGTAGCAGCAGCTTGGCTGACGATGCCGCCGTCGCCAAGAGTCCCGAGATCGTACATCCGATTGCTGGGCCGGGCTTGAGGCGGCAGAGCAGTACCGTTGCACAGAGGATTTCCCAGTACATCAGGCCACCGAGAGAAGAGGCTGTGGTGAGGGTAGAGAGACCTGCGGGTCGAATGGGAACTGTGCGGGAAGATTGATGGACGGCGTGTGCATGGGTGCGTGTTTTTCTTGTTTTTCCAGCCGGCGTTGGAGGTGCATATACCATGACTCTCGTGTCAGAGCTTGGGAGCTCACTACCTTTTGATTTGTACATATTGAGAGTCAAGCCTAATTTGTTCTAACTTACGTTCGTTGCTTTATTCAACCTGGCTGACATCCTCCCAGTGATGCGACGATCTCCCTATCCATGTATCATGTTCGAGTGTTTGGTCATCAATGTGAATCCTGGGCAAGACAATGGTCTATATGACTACCGCCCGGATGGGCCGAAGCGGGCCAGCCATATCGCCTTCTAGATCCGGGAAGATGGGTGTCGATCGGAGACGCCTGTTACTTATGTTCGGATGTGAGTTGAACTGATCATATTTTTTCGGTCACATTTGTCGACTGTGTCTTCGGGCAATAAAATCGTAAAGTCTAAGGATGAGCTGAGCGACTGTCATCATCTACCGACAGCAGTCTCAACTTGACGGTCGACAACTGCTGAAATGATACAGACTCGACAGACAAAATGGATATGAAAACATTGTCACGTCAATTCGAATGGCGATGTTGCCATTTTCCCCTCTTTCTCCAAGGGTATATCCGATAAGTAACAGCAATCAACGCTATTCCTTCTTCTCATCCTTCACTGGGGTATCGTTTTCTCTCATTCTCTCCACACGGCGTCCTCTACTTGCCCCCCGGCCAGGACTCATTGAGCCGTCACCCGATCTCTCCATGTGACGGCCCCTCGTGGGACTCAAGGGCGTATCGTACCTGACCCGCCGCGTCTCAATCTCCGGCACCGAGGAGCGGATCCCAGCGTCAGCCTTTTGTTCCGCCTCCTCTGCGGCTCCGGCAGCTTAATCATGGGCTCCGAGG